CTACAAAGAGTCTTTCAAACTTCAGCCTATATTTTATTTTTATAGGACAACCTGGTGCGCGCCTACCCCCTGTTTGAAGAGTCCCTGTCTCATCTTGGGTGGAAATGTTTGTCACATAGATAAGAAGGCCTCCTCATGGTGGAGCGGGGACGAGCCTGACTCTTCTCGTGGAAGAGCCCACACTCCTGGGGCTTTCTCCAGGTCAGATACTCACATCTCTGCGCCTCTCTTTCCCGACTCCAGCCTTTGACTTCTATCAGAGACGGCCCCGGGGAGATTCTTCACCGGCATCCGCCCTTCTGCAGTCCGGCCCCTACGTGCCCCAGTGTGATGCGCTTGGAAACTGGGAGCCCGTGCAGTGCCATGCCAGGACGGGTGAGCGGGGACGGGTGCCCGCAGGAGGACGAGTGACACCTTCCTTTTCATTTAGAGCAGGGGTGTCAAACTGGCGGCCCGCGGGCCGCATGCCGCCCTCGAGGTAATTTTTTGTGGCCCGCGATGCTCTGAAATAAAATGAAAATAGAAAAAATTGTTATGAAGAAAATAGCGCTTAGGGGAGATCGAAGCAATACCGTACACACAATTCCCTCATTAACCCTTTAACTACTGAAGACGAGTATACCCGTGGCCCAGTGCCTTTCCTGGGGGCCCGTGGGCATGTACAAATGCGCTGACTCAGTTCCGGCGACGTTTGGAAGTGATATGTCTGCCACTCTCAGTGTCACGTAATGTAAACAGATCCCAATGGCGAAAAGGCTAGAAAGAGCACTCGGGTAAAAAAAGAATAATTTTAGTTTTATAAATACATTAAGTAAAATAAATGTTTAAATAAAAGCAATTATATAGTGTTTTAATTATCCTATCCATATTCCCTAATCCTCACTTCAGAATATAAATTTAACAAAATTTGTAAATGTGATGTGGCCCGCGTGAATCTTGCCTGTTGCCCCAAATGGCCCATGTTTTCATTGAGTTTGACACCCCTGGTTTAGAGGAAAGAGACCCACACGGGGGTGGGGGGGGAAGTGAGCTGGACTCCAGGACCCTCTTGGTAGCTGGTGGCAAATGCCTTGTTTTCTCTGGCCTCTGGTTATCTCATCTGTGACCTTCTACTCACCTGAAGGTCAAGTGGGTGTTTGTGGGGAAGTCGGGGTGCTAAGGCCTGGGGTTGCGGACAATGTTGGGTGGGGGCACAGCTGGGGGACCTCCCTGGCACTGCTATGAATGTAAAGAAGGCGAGCTTTTGTGGGACACCAGGGCACAAGTCCCCCGTGTGGCTCTTTTCTAGGGCACTGCTGGTGCGTGGACGGGAAGGGAGAGTACGTGCCTGCCTCGCTGACTGCCCGCTCCCCACAGCGCCCCCAGTGTAAGTGAAGCCCATGGAACTCTGCCACCTGACCTTGGTGGTGGGCACTTAGGGCTGGTGGCGCCAGCTCTTGTTACCCGACCGCGGGAGGCTCAGTGGGCCGGTCCCCGAGGGCAGCCACACCACGCTTTCCCAGGTCCCCAGCCTGGGAGACCCCCACTGGCCTGGCCCTTCCTGATTTGTGTTGCTAGTTTCTCAGATGGAGAGAGGCAGCTGAGAGGGTGAAGGAGCCCTGGGCTCCCCCCAGAGACCTGCTCCCTTGGCAGTTTCATCCAATTCAATAGCCGCCTCACATCTGTTCTAGAGAGCCCAACCTCTGTCCTGAGGTTCGGAGTCGTATCATCAACTGCCCACTTTATGTCTCCAAGATGACCCATCTCACGGGGCCTTTGTCCCTGAACCTCAGCCTGCTTCTCTTCTGAGCTCCCAGCTCTCTGTGCAGGGCACCTCCACCCACCCAAGTGCATGGCTCTGACACTCGGGGCAGCCTGGGCTCCTGCTCCCCCTCGCACCCATGCAGCCTGTTAAGCGCCCCCATCTCTCTCCCACAGGCCCCACCGCCTGTGAGAAGTCTCGAGCCACTGGGCTGCTTTCCAGTTGGAAACAAGCTGGGGACCAAGGAAACCCGTCTCCAAAAGACCTGTTCATCCCAACCTGCCTAGAGGTAGGTTCCCAGGGCCCAGGAGGGCGCGAAGACGGAAGCCAGAACTGTATCCCACAGGTTGCAAATGGTTTTCCTGGTTTTCAATACATTTGTTTTTGTTAAAAACACAGGAAGTTCCAGGCCTGGCTTTTGGTCTTAGTCCTGGCAGACCCTGGCTGTGTGACCTTGGGCAATTTACTTACCTTCTCTGGGCCTTAGTGAGAACTCATTCATGACAACGCTTTGAAAAATCATTTACACACATACACGTGCTGCCATGCTTTCCCTAAAGGCATCTTGACAAAGCCGCTGTGCCCATCACATCGGCTTCTCATTGTGAATGGAAAACGTCATCATATTGCTCTCTCCTCCTCCTTGGGTGATTGTAATAATTCAGTGCGGTAGCTGACAGTACGAGTCAAAGCTCCTAGAGAAAGGATTCAACCAGAATCTTAACCACGTACGTGCCTCAGTTTCCTCCCCCTAAAATGGGGACGATAGGGACGCCACTGCCTGCCCTGCTCAGCTCCCAGGGCCTTTATGGAAATCTGATGAAATCCCTAAAATGGGATAACTGTGGTCCCTGCCCATGAGGTTGTTAAAACCACCAGTTCAAACAATGTATGGAAAGCGTCTAGAACAGGATAGCGCCTCCCCCATGCCACCTGACTTCCTCCCATGTGGAGAAGCCGTCACCTGTAGTTTGTGAAGGGACATTCATGACATCTGCCCACCAACCTATGGGCTGCAAAAACATCTTCCCTGGGGTGACATGACCTTGGCTTTGTCTCAGACAGGAGAGTTTGCCAGGCTGCAGGTGTCGGAGGCTGGCATCTGGTGTGTGGACCCGGCCTCAGGAGAGAGCACCCCACCTGGCACTCATGGCAGTGCCCAGTGTGAGTAGTCGCCCCGGCCCTGTTGCCCCCCATGCCTTCCCATGAGCCCCAGGTGTGGAGTCCCAAAGGCTGGCTTCGTGTTCCAGCTCTGCTGCTTCCAAAGCTGTGGAAGCCTCTGACCTCACTGTGCCTCAGTTTTTTCATCTGTAAAATAGGAGCAATATTCCCAACCTCAGTGGGTTCTTGGGAGAAACACACATAGCAGGGCGCAGGGCTGTGCTTTGTAACTGAGATGCGCAAGCCAGCGCCGGTGCCTATCAAAGTGGGCACTGGTGCTTTAGTGTGGGGACCAGACATACAGCCCTAATGCCACAACAGATCCCTGACTGGTCCCTCCCTGTCTCCAAGCCTGGCCTGCAACCTGGTTTCCATGGTGACGGCAAGCCGCTGTCCCTAAAGTGCAGATGTGCTGATGTGTGTCCTCTGCCACATTCCCCGTGTCCCTGAGGGCCGGGCCCAAGCTCCCCACCATGGCTTCTGGGCCCCTGCCTGGCTGGCTCCTCTATATCTTCCTCCATCTCTCACAATTCAGGATTTGGGTGTAATAAACCATAGTCAGGCTTTTTATGGCTGAGTTCACTGCCCTCCTCTGGGCTCCTAAGCGTCTCCTACTATCATGAGCATCTTTGTATGCCTCTCCCATTGTCACTCTGAACTGTAATTTCTCACTTACTTGTTAAATCTCCTTTAAGCCTCTAAG